TGGTTTGTGAAGCCTGAGTCAACAATCCAAGAAGAAGAAATAGTTTCTGTTAGAAAAACAGTACTAGAAACATGTGAAACATGTGAATTCACATAATTCACTAATACCTTTTCTCTCAGCCTGTTCTGAACAGTCACGTACAAAATGGCTCATTTTTTGGCAGGTGAAGCGCTTGACCTTCTTCAAGTCCAGCTTCTTTTGTTTCCCTTCTTCTTGAATTGTTTCTTTCCCTTTTTAGATTGAGGACCACCCTTCTTCCCTTTTTTTTAGAACTTCTTACCGAATCAGGTTTTGATTGGGAAGTGCCAGCATCCTTAGTGAAATAAGCTTGTTGAGAGGCCTTGTAAGCCTTTAAACGTTCATCCTCTAGCTCCAAGTGCTTAGCTACATCGTTAAAAGTAATGATATTTTTATTATCAGTTAAATTAACCTTCATATGCTCCCAACTAACAGGGAGCGATCTGATAACAACCTACACTTTTTGCTCATCAAACAGAATGTGTCTAACTTCCTTCAATTCCCTAATCATGTTGGCCATCTCTCTCAAATGTTGTTTCATAAGAGTGTTTGGCTTAAGTTTATAGGTGTCGAACTTAATTGTTAACCTCCTAAGTTTAGTACCACCAAACTTATCCTTCAATGTTATCCACATAGCCTGTGCAATTTTGTGCTTCTCAAGCTCACATATTATGTCATCAGTCATGACACTCAAAAGTGTGATTCTTGATATACTGTTTTTCTTCTTCCACACTTGGTAAGCCTTTTGGTCTCTCCTGTGTTGGGCCGTAGTCCTAGCTTCAAGTTTGATTATAGCAGTTATTAAAGGTTTAATAGCATCTTATTCCTCTAAGATGTATTGGACCTTTCAGTGCCAAATATTCTAGTTATCCCCATTAAGTTTTTCCCTTTTATTAAACTCAGTAATAATGTTCTTGGTTGCTATTTTCAGTTTTATGACAAATCTATCCCACATTAATCTATGTTCTCTCTAAAACAGAGACGAACCATAGAACATTCTAGTTATATAGCACAGTGAAGTATACAATGTCATGTACTTATATTATTCTTGATTAGAAAATAATGACACTACGAAATCCATGATTAAGAGTATACGTTTGTATCTTCCATCACACATACTAGCAATAATCATTATGTTCTATCAAAAAATTCTATATAAGCACGTCAGTAAAATTGTGACTCTTAGAAGTCTTATCTTCTAAAAGCTCCCACTTGTAAAGAGCATACATAGATTATTCACAAATAATCATTTAACAATAATTTAAATATCTTTCATTGAATAAAATAAGACATTTAGTCTATTTACAATACATGAACTTAAATCCTTAACATAACAAACATTAAGAAAGCAAATACAAATATTACATCATTTGATATGAGTATGACAATATTCAAGCATTGCTTTCCTTAGCTTCCTAAGTTTATGTGATTTGGTCATATAGGAGGATACTAATTCCATAGACCAAATTCAATAAGATTTCCTTATAGGTTTGCCTTTAGGTCTGCCTCTAACCCTTGTTGCTCTTATATATTTCATTATGATTTTAAGGTAGAATTCAGTATTCTTCTTATTGGTCATGTATTGGGTGTAACTAGTGAGCACACCATTGATGCCTTTTATATTTATCAATTTGGCTACATTTCTTTTAGCTATACTCATAGCTAAAGCAGGGGTATATGGTTGATTCATCTCTTTTCCTTCCTCAACTTCGGATTTATCAGGAAGAACAAGTGAATCTGTAAAGACCAAGTGAGGTTCCTCACTGAGGGATTTAATAGGGAACAAGGTTTTTGACTCAGGTTCAGAATCTTCATAGACCACTTGAGGTTCCTCAGGTGGCTGTTCTTCTATTAACTCCTCTGAGTCTTCTTTAGGGAATTCATCGAGATCATCAGGATCCTCTTTAGGGTCCTCCTTAAGTTCATCATCCTCTTGAAGTTCTTTAGGATCTTCTTCTTCAAGAAGTTCCACTTCCGAACCATTGCTATGAGGATCATGCTTTGGAACTTCATTGTCGAGGAATAAGAAGTTTAATGAATCATATTTAGTAATTTCAATGCTGCTTGAATCCACTTGGCTCTTTTTTTTTTTTTGCCTGGGAATTAAATAATATAAATTATTAGAAGTATTCTGAAATTTTTAACCACATAAAAATACCAGAAATGTACAAAAATTCTATAAAAAACAATAAACTTAAAATTACCCTAAAAATGGGCCAATTATATATTAAAAAGAAGATCTTGATTTTTAGGATTTAGGGACAAACCGTACCTCAAACAGACTCCCACGCTCCCTCACGTACCCCTAGAAGATAAAATATAGGAAAAATATATTAAAAAAAACTAGATAAGTGCACTCTCAGCCACGGCGCGTGTACTACAGCTCCACTGTGGAGATCCCTGATGACGACACACACTGTCCTCTCTTGGACAGGCCTAGCCACATGTTCATTGGCTATGCCACCTGGCCTCGTGGCCATGTGGCATTGTCTGCCAAAAAGAATATAGTTTTATTTTATATATTTTTTAATTTTTAATGTTTTTTATTTGGACTGGTTGGGCTTAGTCCAATCCGAACCTAATGGGCCTCCAGCCCAACCAGTGTCCCTTCTTCCTTTTTTTTTTTTATGGTATGCCAAAACAACGTTGTTTTGGCATGCTGAAGGTTGTCTTCAACCTCTAGGCAAGTCTAGCCAACCCAGATCCCTTCGCAGGTTGGGTCTGTCAGACCCAGAACCTTCTCTCCTCCGTATCTCCTCTGTCTGACGTCTGTTCTTCATGTTCTTAGAGTCGTTTTCATCATTTTCGTGAGATCTTTCCAATAGGACTAATTTTGAAGTCTAAATCCTAGGTTTTCAAATGACCCAATTTCATTTTTAATTTCTTAGGTTTTGTTTTTGCCTTAACCATGTGCCATTTGCTTCTAGACTTTCATTTGATGCTCTTTGTATGTGTTTATGTATAATTCAACACAAACCCATCACAATGAACACAGGTTATATGGATAGAAACAAAAAAAAAATCTAGATCATACATGTATCTACTAAAGAAAAGAATAGCAAACCATTTGAACAAACATATTTCATGCATCATACAGATCACAGTGAAAAAAGCATAGTCTACTCTCTAAACAAACCATGCTCTGATACCAATATAAGTTTTCAGGCATACCTAGAGAGTCATTCAACTTCAGATAGCCACACAGAGATCTGGTTACAATGACGAACTGGGATATTTTGTTTCATAACAAATGCACCTTTGAGAGAAGAATAGAGGGGGAGGGAGAGCAGTTTTTCGGATGGTTTTCTGATTGTATTTTAAAGTGAGAAAAACAACCTCCATATATCCACATTTACATAATCATTCCCTCCTTTTTTTTTCCTTTACAGTTTAAACAAAAAAAGTGAAAATCACAATTAGAGACTCGAATATTCTATTATTTGCACCTGAGCCCCAAAGTTAATGGGTTTGGGTCTAATTTACCAAGGGTAGACTAGCCCATTTTCCTACACATATCAATACATAATTGGTCAATTATTGTTCTTTACACCATATACTTTACCTCCGTGGTTAATATAGGGGTTTGATAGCTAATTTATAAATATTAAGAAAATTAGTTAAGTTAGTTATCTGTAATAAATGAGTGTTGTATTTTCTAAAATATCATTTTTAATTATATGCATTAGAATAGAGAACTTTTAACATGTATAATTATCATGAGCACTACTTTGAGGAAAATAAATAAATATGGGAGAAAATGTGAATTGTGTCTTATATTAGAATTAAATTTAATTTTTACCTAGTTCTTATATTTAAAACTCAAAGTAATATAGTCTTTATCAAGTCAAATCTTAACACTCCACTAACTTAAACATGATATCTATTGTTTTATCATTGTGTTTTTTTTTTTTGGTCTGCTTATTTCATTTTCCAAGTTTGGGAAGTATGCACTGAACAAGCATTCATTTTCCAAGACTTCAAAATGTTTCTGTATTTGGAGGACTTGGACAAGATGGAATAGGCTAACTCTTTTCTTTGTCCATACTTCTGATATTTTTGACCTGCTATTTGTTTTGCTTGTGTTTGTGGACTTATAGATACCACATTTTCTTCTTTGCCTTGTTTTAATACAGCAGTATTTGAGGTGCCAAAAAAAAGTCAACTGAAAAAAAAAAGCCTAATGTAAGAATTCAATTTACTAATTTGGATATATTAAAGAAGTTAGCTAAGTTAATTATTTGTAATAAATATGAGTTGATTTTTTTTAAGGTATGCTTTTAATCATTACCATTCTTAAATGAAAATCCCCTTAATATATGTAATTAATAGATATACTTTAGAGAATGAATTATTGGAAAATTTGGTTAAAGTCCCTATTTGAAAACTTAATCAACTAAAAAGACTTAAATTTGAAAGAGTGCAACTATGATTCGTAAGTGTAACTTTTCTTCCACTGTTTGCAATGTATCATCAAGGATGTGCAACAGTTATCAACATGAAAATCATTTACACACAACGGAAAATATATTACATACAAGAGAGAAAAAGTTGCACTTACAAATTATAGTTGCACGCACTTAAAGTTATGTTTTTTTTTAGCCAATTACATTATCAAACAGGGATATTACCAAATTTTTCTTATAAATTTGGAAGACACAATGAATTAGTATCTTATATTTAGAATCAAGTCTAATTAGGAAAAAAAAAAAACTAACACGATTTTGGCTACTGCTGACAATAGAGAACACAACAAATAGACTCTTACAGTTTATTTCAAAGGCCACGATTGATATCTAATGGTGGCTTATAAATAAATCACCAAAATGATCTCACTTATCACAATTGCTCTAGCTGATACACATTTGCCGAATATTATTTACTAGCTGGGAAGGAAAAATATAAGGTTTAAGTAATAATATAATAAACAATAATATAATCTGGATGGACTATTTTGGATTATTTGTGATAGGAAAAAGGTATGTTTAGAAGAAATCCTTGATTTTGGGGTCAAGCACAAGGGAAGCAAGGATGGAATAGGCCTTCTGTGTTGGATGGTAGCTGTCCCAGAAAATGTAGGCTGAGTCATTTGAACATAACTCTAGAGTGTAAGGGTTGCACGTAATGCTCACCTCTATGTCTCCACTACCACAGCATCCTTTCTCTGTTACTTCAAATCCTAATATCAATAACCAAACGTACAGTAAATTTGGTTATGCAACCTTATCAAAAGATGATCAAATTAGCGGTTGGTGAAATTTCAATTAAAATTAGCAAACTTGATCTCTCATTATTTCCTACTCCTCAGACTCTTACCACATCTCGTGTAGTGTACTCCTTTCCGTCGTTATCATAAGACATCATTTATAAGAGATATATAGATGGTCCTGGTTATATACTCATATGGTTTTTTTGTAAGTCTCTTTCAACGTGTTTAATATAAAACGAATCTTAAACCTCGTTAATTCTACTTTAAAATTTGATAACTTTTCAATTTTATCCTTATTTAATATATCCACTTTCTAATAAAAAACAATCTATATAATAATAAATGAAGGGTAAATTTATACATTTATACTAAAAATTTAATAAAATGATTTATGAATAGAACAAACAAAGCCTTTTTTTCTTAATATTATAAACAAGACCAGAGGAGTAAGTCATTTAATGGGAGTTTACTTAAGTTTTTTCAATATCATTCATATTTAAAGTCATTAACTATATGTAATACAAAATCTGAATTTTTTTTTCTATTTAAATAAGGGTAAAATACAAAATTTATTGCGAGAATTGCAATGAAGTCCTAAAGAAGGGATTTAATTATCTAAATCCATTGACAACTAAAGAGCATGCAATAACAAATTATAGAGTAGGGAATGATAATAGGTTCATGCTGGTCACTTGTCATTGAAATTTCTTGGTAATTAAATTTCTCTTTTAGGACCTTATGATAATTCTTCCAAATTTTAATTCTATTTTTAGATAAAATTAATGACTTAACCACCTCTTCTTGGTTTCGATAACATATATAGTTGAAGGTACGTCAAACATAACAAGTTACTGAGGAGGCTTCTAAGCTAGTGTGTGCTTTTGGTAAATGCATTGATGATGAGTTTGGTGTAGGGAAGTGGAATGTGAATATATACTGACCATATTGAGCTGGATGTTGAAGCATATGAAGAAGTGAGGTATAGCAATCCAAGTAAACAAGCCTGGCGTCTGGCAAGTTTTTGTTAAGCATATCAATCTGAGAGGAGAGTTTAGAGTTAAATAGGACAGCTGCTTGGTTCTCAAAGTCTGAGCAATCTCTCTCTAGGCCTCCTCCTATTGTTCTCTGTGAGGGCACACACCCTAAAACGGGTAAGTTGAACACCCCAATCCTTCTTGCTCCTAATCCATAAAGTTCCTGCAAACACATCCACACATATATACAATTCAGTTGATGATTGTGACTCAAAAATAGTGAAAATATATTAAAGTTTTAAGGTTTAAAAAGAATAATGTTTTCTTTTAGGGAGTATGCATGGGGTTTTATCAATTACAAAGATTTGGACATTGGGAAAAAAGGAATAAAAATAAATAGCAACTATATATAACAAGTATTTCCATATCATTCCTTAATTAATATAAGAGCTAGATAATTAATTTATAGGTACTAAGAAAATTAGTTAAATTAATTATTTGTACTAAATATGTGTTTGTTCTTCTACAATATTCTTTTATAACCATGTGTATTAGAAGTAATTATCACTTCATGGAACCCCTTATTATCATGTGTAATTAATAGGAATATTTTGAAAAAAAAATTACAAATTTAAAAGATAAAATAAATTGAGGTTTTATATCCTAGGCAAAAATAAATCTCTTGTCTATCTCTTATATTTAAGATAGGACGTAGTAATAATAACGTGAATGAATATTATTTTTCAATTTTTATAAATATAATAAAAATGGTGTATACTATATCTCTAAAAGTATTCCGGTTTAATTTTATTGACTATACCAAGGGTTTGATTACAGTTTTCCCATTGACTAAAAACTTGGAAGTTGAGCTAACGGTGGAAATAAAATGCCTTTGAATAGTAACAGTGGGCAAATGTCATCTGCCAGCCTCATTATTGCCATACTTGAAAACATCAATATGCATGTGCTAGGGTTGAAATTGAAGAATCAACACTTTAGATCTTGATTTTGCAATATATTGTTTTTATTCCCGAGTGCACATGGAATAAGAAATTTTTAGGTGGATAAATTCAAAAATAAAAATATGCATGGCATGATAATGTTGGTCACACTAAAGACGTAAATGACCAGATAAAAATATTTGTTTCAATCGACATTTATCAATATCATTAAATTTGTCTTATAAAACTTATATAAAACAACTATGTGAACAGCGTGACTCAACCTCAAATCTTCCACAACTTGGAAGTCCTTGCATATGTATTTTAGGGTTTTAGTCGTTATTTTTTTCCCTCAAAGTATTCGGCTATTCGCAAAGAAATTATAGGTATCTAAAAGCATTTTTTGACTTAATATTACCTTAAAAGTGTTTAAAAAAAGCACTTTTATTTTAAAAAAATCAATAATGGATGGTGTTAGTTTTTAAGAGTTTAATATTTAACGGAAAGGGCGGTGCTGCTCTTATTTTAGCATGCCTGGGCCGATATTAACTCAAAAATCTTTTGAATATTCTCAATTTTCTAGCAAATACTTTCAAGATAAAAATGACCCGTAACCTTATCTTACTTCCGGTCCTTAATAAAAGACCTCATTTGACTTTTACTTTAATCCTAAATATAAGACCCCAATCTACTTTATCTTTTATTTTTTTTAAAATAGTCCTTCTAATAATAATAGTTCTAACCACTGTTGTCAAACTCACGAGTTGACTCTCCGAGTTTAATATTTTTACGTTTTCAACTAACAAAAGCATGTCAATTCACTCATAAACTCATGATAACTGTAAACTCAGTTAAACTTACTAGTTCATTTACTGAGTTTACTATTTTTAAGTTTCTAGCTTGCAAAATTGTGTCAACTTGCTCTTAAACTCATACTAAATTTTTGGATTAGATTATGTTTAGTGACTTTATATATGAATATGAATTTTATAAAAATTTCTTTGTTGAATGTGATAAATTATGAACATTGATGGATATAATTTCAATTATTTAAATTTAAACTATATTTAAATGAAATTGTTCTCATTTTTTATATATTAATTATTTGATTATATATTTGTAATACTAGTTTATTAATAAAAGTAAACTCTTATGAGTTTACAATCTGATTTTACAATCCGAGTTTACATCATTATCACGAGTTTGTTTAAACTCATGAGTTTGACAACCTTGGTTCTAACCAATAAAATTAATTAGCAAGGATATTTTAAGAAAGATAATACCTATTTATTACAAACAATCAACTTAACTTATTTTCTTAATATACTCAAATTAGTTAACTAGCTCTTATATTTAGGATCGGAAGTAATATTTTACAACAAACATGTCTTCAAAAGATATCCAAAAAATAGCATAATGGAGTATACATACTTGGAAGAAGCTTGAGGCTTGGGCAGCCATGAAGTCAGTGTATGATGAAATATCATACTGAGCTCTCCTGATGCCATATTGAGTATAAGTATTGGCAATGTCATCACTTCCTATACACACTATGTATATGCTCTTTGATACAATGCTTCCTGCTTTGCTTTCTCCAACTCCTTCTTTTATCTTCTTCTTGTACTCTCTGAACATGTCCAGTTGACCTGATAATGGTATCACCGACTAAAACAAAAGAGGCAAAAAAAAAAAAAAAGCATCAGAGGAAGTTCCAAGAAACTATAATTATATTCATGGAAGCTATAATTATAGTATATACCACTAGTTCTGCAGTGAGAGGATCATATCCAGCACCACCAGAAGCAAAGCTCACACCAGTGAGAAGATCATCTAGTTTCAGATTAGGATCAAGATATGGTGGCAAAAGTTGCTTCACCCCAAATTTTGCAGCTGTAAAAGAGAAAAGAAAACACAATAATAACCATGTAACACGAAGAATATATATATATATATATATATAAGAGTAATTAAATCAGACCAACCTTGAAGTTTTCATAAATAATAATTATTGTTTAAAGTTAGTAAAAATTTAAGCAAAGTTTATTATCAGCAATTGGAATAGAAATTCTAATTTTATAGATAAAATCAATCAATATAAACCAAATCTATTAAATCCAACACAAAACAAGTGGAGACAAAACCAAAACCGCGCCAACTATATGGCAAAATCAATTGGATTAGTTAAACATGATTTTAACCAAAAATGGCAGTTAAGAAAGCATAAGAACATTCTTACCAAGTTCCTTAGAGGCATATCATTTAGGAGACAAAATTGATTAAAATTTTATATTTAAAACCAATAAAAAGCTTTATACTACTTTTCTACTTTTTTGATAATAAGATTCAAATAATTGAATTATGTAGATTGAAACGTTGGTTAAAATTGATTAAAGGCAAGAAATATGTAAAAGAAAATCGTAAGTTATTTTTCAGAAGCATTTTCGTTTTGAAAAAGATAGGTGTGTGAGAGAATGGGTGAAAATAGAGACAAGAGAGAATGCGTAGACAAAATAAAAATGAAAAAAAAATACATTAAATGTTTGGACATCCTCAAATTCAAAATGTAGCTCATAAAAAGTGATGGGGGAGAGTAGTTTTTACAACTAAGACCGAAAGAGTACCAAATTTTACGTACCAATGATATCTGATGGCACCAAACCATTGCTAAACCTCCCTGTAGGAAGATCTCCGGTACCAAAATCTTTGCCATAAGGTAAGAAATTGCACTTAACCAAAGTGGTTATGAAGTTATTGTTACCAGCATCAACAATGGAGTCTCCAAACACAATTACCGCTGGGATTGTTTCATTGTTTGGTAGACTCACAACAGCAGAAGAAGAAGAAGTGCTTTGTTGAAAGATGATGAGTACGGCACAATACCAGAGAAAGACGACCACAGAAGGAAATTGAAGATGAAGAAGAAGACGACTTTGAAACGGACACCTCATTATGTTTCTGTGATGGATGAACTTTAATGTTTGCCCACACTTCGATGTAATCTCTCGAAATTAGGCAATGGACGTTTTCCAATGTGGGTGTATGTGTTTACTCATCCTGGTGCAAGCTATTTATATAGGACAATGGCCTCTTATGTTACTGTTTTTATTATTATTATTATTATTTGGCAGGATCTGATGTGTGTTTTAAATTTAATAATAATGTGGGTGAGCGAATAGAACAGCCAAGACAATTTGAGCAAAATTACTTTTGGCACAGACACATACGTATGCATATTATATGTATATATATGTTCCATTACAAAATGTTCCATATTTCATAGTGTTGCCCACACCTTCGGCACATGTTTTGCTTTAAAAAAAAAAACTTTTTATGAACATCTTTCTTTTCATTTTTAGCACATTGCAAGAAATGAAGTAAATTTAATCTGTACATATATAGTGGCGTAGATTCAAAATCTCCTAATAATATACATATATATTAGGGTTAAAATGTAAATTTATCGCAAAAGTTTTCACTTAAGTGCATTGGGTATTGAAAAGTTTTTTTGTGTGCAAATTTAATTTGTCCCTAAAGTTTAAAATCATAGTAGTGTTACCCTTGTCATTAAAATGTTAATGGTCAATGTTTTTCTTTTGATGGTCAATGTTAGTTTTTTAATAACATGGGACAATATTGCAATGTTTTTAAATTTTCGGGGCTAATTTGCACTCAGAAAAATTTTGGACGCCCAATGTTTCTAAGTGAAACCTTCAAGACAAATTTACATCTTAACCCTATTATTTTTAATTGAGGTTGTCAATCACGGTAAAGAAATGTGTTTCGTACATAATTGCCTTGTGGTGTGGCACCAAAATGTTTGTGATCGTTTGTAAATTGATTGAAAGCAACGCGTAACAACATGAGACACACGCATGAGAAAATACGTCGAATGATAACTGTTTGCATGTAAACCCTTTGGATGTTAGGCACTATTTGCGCTGGTAGTGTTTGAACCAAACGCAACCCATATTAGAAGGAGCTACTAGAATCTGAAATATAATAACAAAATTTAGATCAACCTCCTTATATTCAATAAATCAAATTTATTGGGAAATTTTTAAGTGTATGTATTTTAACAACTAATAAAATAACAAGTGTTCATATTTCGTAGGTGAATTTATAAGTGCACATATATACTTTTTTTTGTAAAAATAATTTAAGTGAGTTGAGGTCCGAGACTCATTAGGACCAGGACATCCCTCCAAACTTAAAAAGCATTTATAAAGTGCGTATACATATTTTAACAACTAATAATAGTAAATAATAAGTGTGCATAAGAAAATTTATAAATACTAATTTACATTATAAGAGCTTATATAAAAATTTGCACGTATTTAAAGGAGAATTTACAAGTGAACATTAGCATTTTAACAACTAACACAAAATAATAGGTGTGATTAGAAACTTAACCTAATAAATGCAAAGAAAACAACTTGACTTAAGTTTTTTCCAATGTAAAAATTGGTTTTTCTATTTTGTTTTTTCCCCTCTATTTATGATATCACAATATTATTTTGTGGAAACAAATACTAATGATACCCACATATATGTAAGTTTTTTTGTTTTTGAAAACAAGTATTAATTCTACTTGGGAATCTATATTATGATGATTTACTTAAGGACAAAGGGAAAATAAAAATTAGGACTTATGTTTATGGACAAAGGAAGTATAAATGAAGATCATAATCAACAAGCTATTGATTTCTATAGTGATCGTCCTCGGACGCGGCTTCTCTCTGCTGTCCTTATGGTCCGCTGCCCTCCTTTACTCCCCAAACCGCGCGGTTGTGGATGAAAATAAGGGAGTGTCGGTGCTTTTTTATTTTTTTAAAAATATCTATCATCTTAAAATGTTTTTTTAGAGCTATTTGTTATCCCAAATTAATTGTTAGAGTACTCAGTATTTGAAAATATTTTTTGATTGCATTCAACATCTAACATCTATCACTCAGAAATATTTTTCAATACCACCTAGTATACTAAAAATTTTGCAGTGATACCTAGTATCTAACATCTATTACATTGAATTATTTTTTCAATAGCACTTGGTATCTTAAACTAAATTTTAGTGTATTCAACATCTTAAAATATTTTTTCAATGAGACTTAGTATATTGAAGTAACCTTTTGTGCAATAATTTAGCATGCTGGATGTATTAAAATTTAGTTTATTATATTAGATAGTACTAAGAAAAGAAAATACTTCAACTCTTTAGTTGTCATATAGTGGGTGTCAATGAAAAGATATTTTAATTCACTAAGTGGATCAAAAATTATTTTAAAATAGTAGGTGTTACTGAAAAATACTTCAAAATAATAAATGTTAGATATTGGTGCTGCTAATAAAATATTTTAAAATGTTGGGTATACTAATAACTAATTTAGGATACTCAATAATACTAAAAAAATATTTTAAGATATTAGATTATTTTAAAAAAATTAAAAAAGTACTGACCCTCGATTGTTTTCCCCCAAAACGGCAGAGTTTTGGGAGCAAAGGAGGGCAGCGGACCAAAAGGGTAGCGGAGAGAAGCCGCATCCATCATCCTCACTAGAATTGGCGTCGATCATATTCCCTTGGGAAAATTGCAAATGAAGACCCCCAAATATGTAAAATTGTAATTTGAGATTTTTAATTTGGAAAATAGCAAATAAGGACCCGGTCTTATTTTTGCAAATATGAAATCGTGGTGAAATGCTTAAAATCCCATCAGCCAAATGACAAGTTGATTATGAGAAATAACAAGTTCACTTTAACGAATGACAACTTTAGTAAACCAAATCACAATTTGATTGAGGGTATGCCAAATGACGAGTTGACTGTGAGAAATAAAAAATTCACTTTAGCGAATGACAACTTCAATAGAATAAATTACAATTTGACTGAGGGGCCTTTCATACATTTCATCCACATTTCATATTTGCAAAAATGAGACCGGGTCCTTTGGGTCCCAAATCACAATTTTACATATTCAGAGGTTTTTATTTGCAATTTCCCCTATTCCCTTCATTCTTAATTATAAGTTATATTTAATTAATTCACACAATCCCAAATATACAATTAGTTAAAATTAATTCATGTTCCTAAAATTACTTAATTTAATAAAATAATGTTTAAAATTATATATAATGAGATTTAACGAAGTCTTGTTTATCTCTTCCAATTCATATTTCACTATAAATAATTAATAATATTCATGGGAAAAAAATTAAAAAGATAATATTATCTCTAATTTTAATTATAAGATCTCGTTTGTAGACTATAGATAGATTCTACTTTTATAAATTGATTTATAAATACAAAGATGAAAGCCTTCTAAAGTCAACAATGGAGGGTGTATTTTTTGTTATGATCACATGTAGGGGAGCTGGAGGGCAGAAACATGATTGCCCATGCGTACATTTAATTCTTCTCCTCGGGACACTAATGCATTTGATTGGAACTGTGGAGATAAAAGTTTCAGTGAGTTTAATTTGAAAAAACATAGAAAAATAAAGTTGGAAAAATTTAATTAATTTTTCTTATTATTTTGCTTTATATATTTTTTCCAACATTCTTTTATTTTATATCTGTTTTATTTTTATATTTTTATTTTTATTTTTTTGGTTAAGATGCTTCCAATACCTCAAAATATTTTTTTGAGTGAGTCCAACATTCAAAAGTATTTTATGGTGCATCCAACATCCTAAAATATTTTTTAGCTGTGTCTAACACCCTAAATTTGTTTTTTGTTTGATGCTGGATACACCAAAAAAATATTTTAAGGTGCTGAATATGCCTAAAAAATACTTTAAGAAATTGAATGCACCAAAAAATATTTTATTGCCCAAAATATTTTAAAATAATGGGTGCACCTTAACCTTTTATTTTTTAAATTAAACTTCATTAAAATCTCTTACCCCTCCAACAAAATTAGGAGTTATATTATATTCTGTCAACTTAAAGTTTCGACTCTGGTTCTCTTTTGGTCCTACTTTATATGCATATGTATGCATGTGCGCGTGACTAGTTATATGTAGTTCAACAAACAAATCAGAATCGTTGGCAAAAAAAAGTAAACAAACAAACCAGAATGACAAGAATTATTGCCCACTCCCCCTCCCCCGGCAATGCGAGTGGGGCTAGTGATGCTTAAAAGGTGGAGAATATATTTGATTTAATAATAGAGGCTAGTCTATTTTAATTTGTTCCTAAATAAAAATTTTAATTATTTTTTACTCTTTTATTTTATATTTTTTATTAAAATTTTATAGGATAAACTTGAAAAAATAACCATAAGGTTTTATCCAAAATGCGCTCATCATTATAAGTTTTTTGGAGATACAAAATTACTTATGAACTTGGAAAACTAGAGAAAAATGACACAACCGTTACATTTGCTTAACGAGTATTACTTTTTGCAGTTGAACCCGCACTAATATTTTAAACTACCGAAATACTCCTAACTCAAAAAAAAAAAAAAAAAGAATAAATGTGTATAAATATCTATAAAATTTTACCCAGAATACGCCAAACACCATATGTCTTTTTCACGCATGCAAAAGCACCCGCTACCCTTCAAACAAACCAATTCTTTTTGGGGAAAGAATCTATCAAATTTTAATATAATACTAAAATACTAATAATTTTAGGTTAATATATAAGTTTGACCTTCTAAATTTACATCAAGTTTAATTTAGTCTTTCAGTTTATAAAATATTTTTTTTAGTCCTTTAATGTCAACACTATTAGTCAGATTAACCAAAAAAAAAATTGATTCAACGAATTTAAATGATAACTCTGCAATTAAACATTGAAATATTAATTTTCAATTTAAAATTTGTAGTTGAAAACATTTAAAATACAACCTAATGAAGATGTTATCTAATTTTTAGTAAGACCATTGATGTTAACATTACAGAACTCGAAATATACTCAATAAATTTAAGAAACAATTAAAACTTGATGT